TAGCGACGAAACAAGCCCAGCATTTGACAGGATAAAGGGTATGACCAAGGAAAGGAAGGAAAGGAAAGGAAACGAAGGAGTGGATTGACTCGGGCACTGGCTGGTTGTCAGGCCCTAGAGAGGTTCTACTGTTTACTGTATACTGTCAGCATGAAGCAGCAAAGGAATTCAAGCAGAATTTTCATCCTTTCTTTTTATGCCCTCTCTTTCCTTCTCCTTGACAGAATGATCGTAGCACGAGAGAAGGTTGATGAGAATAAAGAACAAGGAGAGAAAGAAAGAAGGACGGACGACACCCAATGGAAGGCTCCGTCTGTGGCGGACAATGTGGCGGACAAGAACAACAGCACGTGCGCAGGCCACATGCCAGTTGATGCGAGCAACTTTCTCTGAGGTCACTTTTCACTTTTCCACTGGCACTTGGCCATCCACCATCCACCAGGCCACCACATTCTCCTTCATATACCCTTCATCATATCCTATCCTCGTCCCATATCCCATGGCTGAAAGGAGCTAACACTCGTCTCACACACTATCAGCCCGGACTGGGCTAGCAGAGCATTTCGCCTCACAATGGCGCCCTCATACCCATCCCCAAGTCTGAAGGCTACGACGGCGTCGCCACGCACCGGGCCACAAAAAGGTACGGCGACAACTCACCACCATTCAATACTCTCACTGCATCGCCCATGACAAACAGAAAATCCCCTGCATTTGGTGTGTCGATGTTTGCATCTCATGGAGAACCCCTCGCAAAGGCCAGATCGAGGCGTGCTTTGCGTTGCCATCGTGCCCACATTTATCATTTCTTTTGCTGCATGATTCCATGTTCGTGCCACCGCTCACCCATGCTTCTCACTGGCGCAGCGCTGTGCCCCTGATACGAGGAGTCATGCACGTGCGTTGTTGCCCATTTCCTTTCGCTCGACCACACCATGGCCTTCTGTCACGCGACACCCGCTCACACGACAGTGGGATGTTGTGGGAAGTTGTGGGAATAAGCGGTGCTCATTGAACAATCGAGCTTCAGGCACGATGTGACGGTCCATGCCATTGTGTTTGCTTTTTTTTTTCCCCGGCCTGTTTGATTTCTGTTGAGATGATGGAAAACGTGGCCAGAGTGGATGCATGCGTCCAAGTCAGACCTCTAACGCATCCCTAGGTGTGACCATCTTCGACGAGCCAGAACATATCCCCGAGCCCAATATCAAGGTCTTCGCGGATGGCCAGGATAACGGTGTCGGCTCCTCCCCCACGCTCGTTGCCTCGCACAGCCCCAAACTTCACCGCGCCAGTATTTCAGGAAAGAAGATGACCGGCCGACCCGCCCTGCATCATTCAAATTCAAATTCAAATTCATCTCACATCTCCTCTGCTGGCGCTCCCCTTAACAAACGCATGTCGTACCTCAGCCTCGACGACAATAACCCCCCTGACTCATCGTGGTCTGGGGGCCCAGGCACCACAACTCCCGGAACGATGGCAGAGAGTAAAACTCCTGATCTCCGCAATATCCTGGCCCAGGTAGCCGACTGGCTCCAAGATGAGAAGGCCAAACGACAGAAGCAGAGGCACCATCGGCATCACCCTCGTCGCAGCAAGCAGCCGAGGACACCCGACGATCAGACCGACGACCCCAGACCAAACGATGCCATACTTGACAACGAACAAGATATGTCGCTAGAAAGGCTCGAAAACATCCTTCAGAATTTCTCGTTCAACAACAACAATTCGAAGCTTCTACACAAGTCTTCGAGCGCGCTCCTGAGAAGGGGATCCTTGGGCAAGAAATACAAGCAGCCTCGCTCCATGCCTGCTTCATCAGACACAGAGTTCTTCGGCGATGATATATTAGTCCCCAACGTCGAGGCCAAGCTGGACAACTCCAAAACCATGGCTTTCACCGGCGGTTCGGCAGATGTGGACACCAGCGATAGTGCGAGGAGGCAGGATTATGAGCACTGGGTGACCTTCAAGAAGGACATTGTCCGGTTGACGCACACGCTAAAACTGAAGGGCTGGCGCCGCATCCCTATTGATCGCGCCGCCGATATCGACGTTGCCCGTCTGAGCGGCGCCCTTACCAACGCTGTGTACGTCGTCCATCCTCCCAAAAATATGTCCGAATATGACGCTCACAATCCTTCTGACCCATCTGCGCCGCCCGTCCCCATTTCTCGGCGTCGTCCTACTTCTCTTCTCCTGCGTATTTACGGTCCACAAGTTGAACATCTCATCGATCGAGAGGCCGAACTGGGCATTCTTCGCCGCCTGGCTCGGAAAAGCATCGGACCTCGTCTCCTGGGATCCTTCGAGAATGGGCGTTTCGAAGAATTTCTCCACGCCAAGACCCTCACGGCAGAGGATCTGCGTATTCCAGAGACATCTAAACAGATCGCGAAACGAATGCGCGAGCTTCATGAAGGGATCGAACTGCTCGAATCCGAACTGGATGCCGGTCCGGCGGTTTTTGTGAACTGGGACAAATGGGTCGATCGGTGCGAGAAGGTGATTACTTGGCTCGATAAGCAGGTTCATCAGGCCGAGAAGGAGCTCACGGACGGCACGACAAGGCGCAAGTCAACAGTCAATGCCCGCTACGTCCGCCGCGGGTTGATCTGCGGCGTCGAATGGCCTGTCTTCCGCCGGGCCTATGACGCATATCGGAAACGCCTGATCGCAGACAGTGGCGGCCGCGAGGGAATTCGCAAGCTGCTCGTCTTCGCACACAATGACACCCAATACGGGAACCTCATGCGCCTCCAACCCTCTGGCACCTCGCCCCTCCTTCAACCATCGAATCAGCACAAGCAGCTCGTCGTCATCGACTTCGAGTATGCCGCGCAGAACACCGTAGGGTTAGAGTTCGCAAACCATTTCACCGAGTGGTGTTACAACTATCATAACCCCCCCGACAAGAACTTTCAATGTGACACGCGACGGTATCCGGATGAGCGGGAGCAATACAGATTCGTGAGGAGTTATGTCATGCATAGACCGCAGTTCAACCCCGCGGCGAGTGCAACGCCCAAGATGGAGGGTCGCGAGAAAACCAATATCAGTGATTTCATGCTTGATGCGCGGACCCCTGGAGGCGGGACCCCCAATCCCTTGGGGGGAAGTGGAGGATCTGATGGAGGAGTTGAGGCCAATTACGACAGAGAGGAGAGCGAAAGAGAAAAGGCCCAGGAGGAGGAAATCCAAAGGTTGTTGCAGCAAACGAGGGTGTGGAGGATGGCAAATTCGGCGCAGTGGGTCGCGTGGGGAATTGTGCAGGCAAAGGTACCAGAGCTGGATGCGTTGGAGGAAAAGGAAAAAGAAGACAAGATGGCGGGGAAGACACAGAGCAAACGAAGAAAGAGCATGACAGAGTTGGTGTCTACGGGAGAAGAGAAGATCGTCGAAAAGGTGAAAAGCCTGGTGGGCAAGGATGGTGGCGGGAAACATTGTCAAGATGACCATCTGAATCCAATGTCGGACCCCTTGACTGGAGAGGAGAAACGGATGCAGGTGGAGAGTCACTGGGACCGACCCGAAGGAAGACCACAAGAGGAAGCACACCACGAAGGCAATGGAGACATGGCAATGAGCGACCGACCCGACGCCAGTACCAACAATTTCAGCCCCTGTGACACCATCCACGAGCATGCCGAAACGAATAGCAATTTTGAACGGGCGATCACAACGAACGGTGACAGGGAACTTTCTCGCCCACAACTTCCGGCTCAACCCCAGATCGACCCCGACCACGACGCGCACACGGAGATGACACAAGTCGAGGGACAGCCTCGCCCGGATAGCCGCCCGAGCTCTCCCTCCGACCATGGTGACGAGCCCGAGGACGAATTCGACTACCTCGCCTACGCCCAGGAACGGGCCATGTTTTTCTGGGGCGACTGCCTTCAAATGGGCTTGGTCAAGGAGGATGAGTTACCCGAGGACCTCAAGCGGAGGGCCAAGCTTGTGCCGTATTGATGCTTGCTGGCTGTTTGCACTTTGGTGTTGTCAATATATTCGATGCACGACTGGTTGGGGCGTTAGTGAATCGTCTGAGCACAGTGTGTGGCTTGAGCCAGCCTGAGCAGCAAGGGCAGCAAGGGGCGTGAGACGTGAGAGGCAAGCCGTGAAAAGATCGTTGGTTGCTCCAGGTTATGAGGTGTGCAATACGCATCACGCCATATAAGACATGAGTGGGACATGGACTTTGGGGAGCCAAGGCGGACGGGAGGGGAGGTTTCCAGACAGGCAGGCCTTAGTTTATGATCGGGCCAGCCTCGCGCGGTGGGACTTTTGGGTCGGGAGCAGGAGCAGGAGCTGGACAGGCATCCGCTGAAGGACTCACAGGTGATCACGACGACGGGTATGAATACCATTGAATGAAAGAAAAAAAAACAGAGTACGGGGTACGGACTGCAGAGTACATGATAATTTGGTAATGTGGATTGAGATGGCAATTTCTAATCCCATCCAACCCTGTCCTGTCGTCTTCATGGTCAGAGGTCGAGACTAGTAAAAATTATATTATGGTCAATCGAGACCTTTTCCACCAGAGAGTTATCGTAACCCGAGAGGAAAACTCTAGAAATCCAACTCGACGGGATACCATTTCGTGCCCCGTGCTGGAGTGAAGTCAGAGTGTCAGTCCGAATGCTCCGCTGTATCGTTCCGGTGGCAGTCCCGAGTCCCCAACCTCGACTATTCCAGAGTCCAGCCAGAGACAGTGCAGGACCGGGTACCTTGAACAATATGCGTGGTCATCAAAATAAACATCGCCGAGTTTGTTGCCTTTTGAATCTTTGAGCTGCCGGCTGCCACCGCCCTTGACCCCGTGTGGGGAGCGCGCACCGAGGAACTGAGGAAGAGTCGGCCCTCCATCGTCACACTCCCTGATTCCACGATGCCAAAGGGGATTTGTCCCCCTCACCTTGACTTCAGCACCCAGAATCACGGCCTCGTCTCCTTCAATTGGGGATGGCATAGAGGTCTCAAAGGAGCTCCGGTCAAACGGCCGCGTCGGAAACCGTACAGGAGCGTTGACCGTGGCCCATGACCATGTTGGTGCGTTGGGTAGATCGGGGATTCTCTGGGAATGCTCCGGGTCTTCTACTCTCCATAGCAGCTGCTTCGCAGAGTTGTTCTTCCACAGGCCAGTCAGATACTGGTCTCCCGTCTCCCGTCTCCCGTTGCCGTCTTGCGGCGAGTCCGGATATGGCAGGCAGTCGGTCCGTCGGCACCGTCATTTCCCTCGACGTCAATTCCTCGACGAGTTTCTCCCACTTGTGGTGGTAAAGACCAGGTGGTTGCTCGACAATCTTCCGATTGAGAGCAACAGTTTCGCGTGCGCTCAGTTCCGGAGGTCCGTGGTAATGATTACACAACGAATCAAATCGTTCCGCCCGTCCAAAAAGCCCGAGAGGCCACCAAGCCAAGCGCTCGTTGGGACACAACAGGACTCCGTCATTATGGACAGTCGAGTCCGAACAGGGAAGAGGCATAGTGGAAAAATCCTCTTCAGAGCATTGTATCTGTTTACAGACCCAGCCAGATTGATGGGTAGTTAAAACAAGAGCCCGGCGAAAGAGTTCATCCTCTTGCATACACCATCCGCGCTGTCTTGTAGGCTGCCTCTTCTGAAGGGACTCTTCGCCCTCCATGGCATTCGTCTCGGCTGTCCAATTCGGCAAGACGGGATGGAATCTGACGGCAGCAGTTAGGCGCTCATCTTCTGTTGATGAGTGCAAAATGGCGGGGCTGACTAGGGACATATCCCTCTCAGCAAAGAGGGGTTTCGACGGATCTGGCGAGGGTGATATTATAGTGCAGAGAGCGTTGGCATAGATATCGGCCAGAGACATGGCTTCTTTTTCCCAATCGTCTGGTGAGTCCTGAAGAATACAGAGACCGTCGATCCAGATATATCTCTCAGCCCTCTGGTTAGTTGAATGACGTCCTGAAGGGTCCGAGGGAGCCGGGCTAGATGAATTCCGGCCTTGAAACTGTCAATATTTCCAGTCGACAATGTCCACGGAGATTCCTTGGTCGTCGATCCCCAACATTAACTCAGCGCGAAGTATCTAGGTTTTTGTCCTCGACACTGCTCGCCACAAACGATTCGTGGCTCCTGAGAACCGTCGTGAGGTCCGACGTCGACGAGTCGAGTAGGTGGGTCTCCGACACTGTTCTCACTGCAGCCTTGATGCTCATTCAGGCATTTATCGAGCCATGACCTGATGATACGGAGATTTTCGGTGCTTGGTATGGCGGATAGGGCGGGCGTGCGACCTACAACTGTTAGCCGGTTTAATAGAGAGCATTCGTGGCGTCGTACTTAACACTTGTCCGGAGTCCGGTTTCACAGTCGTACTCCAGGAAGTAATGATTCATTCCTGAGGCAAGAACAATTCTATCCTCCAAGTCACCCCATTCAATCCAATGGCCGTCCCCATCGTAGCGAGGATTGAGATTCGGCGGGCCAAAGAACGGAGGACAAAACTGAGATATCATTTGTTGCAACAGTAACCGGCAAGAATGGCCAACCTTTTTCTGCAGACACAGTGAAATCGAACAAAGCTGGGGTGCAATTTATATTGGACGCGACCATCGCCTAGGAAAAGGTCCAATGGGATACGGGAGCATTTGGCACAGATCATTTTGGCGGCTCGACGGGGTCCCTTCTGAGCTCTGGGATATACCTCTCTATCAGAAAGTCTCAAATCCGGGTCTCAGGGCAGGATCCAATATTTATGGTATCTTGGATATGAGATCGCCATCATCCGGCGGCATCAATGGGAGCAAAACGCATGCTGCGTGGATGTCTCATGGGCGATCTCACCAGTTAGAATATAGACCAATGGCCGTTAATCTTTGCTTTGTGTGTAAGTGCAATACGCACCGTGCCCAGTTGAATCAGCTTAATTCTTTCCCTGGTATCGCCGTGTTAACTCAGGGAGCGGTCAGCGACGTCAGCGAAAGTCTCCGTTCAAACTTAGGTTAAAGCGGCCTTCGCTCATCCTCTTAAGAACAAACTGTATGTGTCGATTCGGTTTTGCGGTCGCGAGTAATCTGGATAGGTAACTTTCGCTCATAGTTTGATCTTCACACCACTCTTGTCCAATCCCAATGCTACCCCGGTAACCAGAACCGCATAACCCATCAACAACCCCATCGCGCTCAGTGGCCGCATATCCAACGTATTGAAACTCAGGTTGACCAGGCCCGTCAGGAGATTCGCGACCAAAAAGATGACGAGCCCGTTATTATTAAACACCGCCAAAATTCGGCTGGTCGCGGAGCGAACTATGTCCTTGTCTTCCGCTTTGTAGGAGAAGCTCGGCCCGCAATCTTCCACCAGACCAAACAGGAACAATTGGGCGTTGTTGAACGCGACAACCCACAGCACGTAGGGGAGGTTGGCAAGGCGGCGCGATACTGTAAGATTGAACGTGTACAGGCTCGTCGTTAACCAATATAAGAAAACGTAGATAAGGGATTTGATGAGGAGACCATTCAGGACCGATCGTCTCTCGCGACGCGTGAGTTCCTTCGGACTCGACTGTTTCGAATTTTTTGGGACCGGCTCGTTGAATTGGACGGCAAGCATCCCCGTTCCGCGCCCTGCGAGGAAGATCGCCAGGTATCCCGCGAAAGAGAACACTCCTTCTCGGTTTTTGGACAAAAGGTCGGGTCCGCGAGGAGAGATCAAGATGTAGGACAGGAGGTCGGTATTGTTGAGAATGAGCTCGTAGATGACGGCCAGGGTGAGAGCGAAGGTCTCGTAAGACTTGAACATCCTGCGGGTAACACTGTCGGAAATCTCAACAAAAGGGGGGAGTAACGCCAGCGTGAAGAAGAAATTCCAGTGGACTCCGTACTCGGTGACGTGCTCGGCGTAGTCGAGTCCTTTGACGCTGTAGAGGCGAATGAAGCCGAGGATGAACAAAGGGATCGAATGTCGAAGGGCTTGAATGAAACGACTGACGAATTTTGTATTTGGTGACGGTAATGCTTGAACCCCGGTACGGGCGCGGACCACGGCTCGAGCAGAGACTACGCCGGCCGAAAACACGAAAGAGCCTACACCCAAGTCCATGAGCGAGGTGCCCCATGTCTCGACTTTGGCGTAGCGGCGAGGAAAGATGGGAAAATCAACGGCTAGGATGGCTAGGCAGGTCACAACGAGCATGGACCCGCGGTAATGGGTCAGGAATGGTCGGACTGGGAGGATCGGAGGCGCATTGGAAGTGCTAGCAGCGGCGCCATTGACAGAGCGAGGATTCACCTTTGCTGGGGCATCCGAGGCGGAGGTGGTGGACTGTCCGCCGGTCTTGAGGAATGTGAGGAGGGCTCCCGGGGTGATGAGAATGACACTCAAGACTAGAGGGGTTGATGAGTACAAAGTAACGGCGAACAAAATGGCGCAGACATTGAGCAGGAAGTCGGCCAGCAACGCGACAGGAGTATATGGCGTGAAGAAAGAGTGTCTCCTCTGCAGAGCAGTCCAGAGAAATACTGCGGCCTGCGAATCAATCAGCGAAGGTCCATGAGCACAAGACCAGCAGATGGCGGTTTGGGCTAGAAAGCGTACTGCAGCAACAAGCGTGACCAGGTTGATCTCTGTCAAGGAACTTCCATAGAGGTTAGACACGAATGCCTCCTTTCGAGCCTTGTAAGAGGCTGCTGAAGCTGTGGCCATGGCAAGGGACCGGGGTTTATATCATGTTGAACGTAGGGAGAGCCTTGTAAGCGAAGTAGTTAGCATTGATTGGGGGGAATTCGATATGTGAAATGGACATTGTGACAGGTGGCAGCAAACGTGGTGAAATGACAGACCGAGCCTCGCAATTCGGTTCAAATGACACGGTTTTCGACCAGGCAAAAAGGGGCTTCCTCTACAAGTATCGTTGTAGCATGTGGGTGAAACCTTTGATATACCTGCAACTTTCGGTATAGCTCTAGCCCTCCTTCATACAAGTTGTGAATCGGCATACAGGCTCTCCTTGCTTATGTCCAGCAGAGTGAGGTACTGCTGCCCTACTGCCCACCGAGATGCCATTGTCTCCAAGACCTTCCTCAGAATATGGTATGCATCTCCCATTTCCCTCAGTCCTGTTTCATGGGCAAGCCACGCGTAAATGGTCGCTCCAAAATAAATACAGTCTCCCACCAAAGGACTCACCGCTGCCGGGTTCGACGTCATCCCCGCATGGAGGAGTTGGCTGAACCGGAAGACATCTGCCGCGACCGACTTCATCCCTGCGATGGCAATTGTCTGCATCTCTGTCTCTTCCACAGTTCGGTGGCCACCGTTAGATTCTGTACAAGCAAATGGATCGCAAAGGTGCATGAGACTGCTATAACAGAGGGCCAAGGGCGTTCCGTACCGCTCTGGCGATCGATGCACGTCGTTAGGAAGTAAATTAGCCAATGCCTGGAGTGTCCGATGTAGCTGGATTGCTTCGGAAAATCGCATCGGTGCATCAAGCAGTCTGTCATTCAGAAGACGGACGAGCCTACCTAGGAGGTGCGTGGCTTGACACGTTCTTGTAAACGCTCCAGCTTTAACGTTCGTAGGCGAGGAGACGTAGAGTGGCTCACTCGTCGTTATCTGTCCCTCGTCCCAGAGGTCATCGTCGGCCGGCAGAGTATCGTTGAGGACAGGGTCATCGGTGGCCAACGGATGACCAGAGGAACCGAGATTGACATATCTCAACCAAAGGTAAGCGCCTAATCCTCATGTGGATACCTTGGTACATACCTATCCAAAAGCATTGTTGCCCACCAGGTTCGCTTCATTTCCTCCAGCTCCGCCCAAGCTCCCGTTCTTTTCTTTAGCATTTGAGGAGCATGGCGCCGGTCGTTGAGACCCAGCGCGTGTCCTATTCTGGCGCAGTGTCCAGTACTCAGATACGCTGCCGGATAGATGGCGTGGCCTATCTCGTATGCGGCGATCAAGATATTCGCTTGCAGCAACTGGAGGGACATCAATCCGCTCGATTCAACCATGTTGGCGTAGCTCTTGCTAAGATTGTACAACGGTGAGCGGATACTTTGAGGACCACTTTGAGGTACCTGGATGATGAGCTTCATGGACAAGAGCAGGAGTGCTAGGTCGAGAGTAAGCTCCATTGTGGGGTTGGACAGTGTCAACTGCATGCGCTTCTTGGAGACGAAAGGGAGCCAGATATGGATGTTTGCGAAGTATCGGTCGACAATTTCCTGAATGTCCAGGATTGACACTCCCACTGTCGCTGCGACTTCTGCCGGGACAGCGATATTGGGTCTGGGAATAGTCAGCAGCGCTTCCGCGAAGACTTCGGCGTCCAGGAAAAAGGCAGTGGGGAAAGTGGCATTGCTGTCGGTGGCAAAGGCAGCCTCGCCGCCGCCAATGCCGGGACTCGCGCTGAAAGACCGCATCGGTCCATGCCACCCTTCAGACCGTCGACCTTCGAGACGGGCCTCCAAGTCGGCTATCTTCTGTCGCATCGTAGCGAAGTCTTCAGAGGTAGGGATGGGCGCGGTCTCCGAGTAATCACAGGGGCGGGACATGCGGCTGCACAATGAGCAGCTGGGGAGCAATTTGTCGCATTTTCTCTTTTGTTTTCGACAGGAAACGCAGGCTTGAGGGGCTTTATCAGGTTGATCTGCTGCGTCGACCTCCATTGCGGCGTCGGGCTCTTGCAAGAATCCAGCACAACGGAAAGAAAGGTGGATGGTGAGGTAGTTGATGGTCATGCGACCGAATGCAAAGCCGTCATCCTAGACGTCGTTTATTGATTGCTTGAGCAGGCCGCAATGCCCTCTGCGGCGTATAGTTCGATTTTACTGGGAATACTCACAATACTCGTCTATCAGAACG